GAATCTGGCGAAATCTCTGTGTGTAAGGGACAAGTATTCTGGATGCCCATGATCTTCGGGCCTTAAGCAGCCCTGCCTCACAAATAGGCATGATTCTGCAATGGAAATCACTAAATGGGCTCAGGAATATTTCCAGAAAACGTTATCAGTGAACACAATTCTTTGAACATGATCCAGAAGCGCTGACGTCTTCTCTTGGCCAAAGCTCATTTAAAATGGACTGTGGCTAAGTGGAAAACTGTTCTGTGGTCAGACGAATCTAAATTTGAACCAAGGAGTGCCGTATCATCCAGACTAAACACGCTGGGTGGTCCTTCTCTTATTGGCGCTCAGTTCAAAAGCCAGCATCTCTGATGTATGGGGGTGCATTAGTACATATGGCATGGGCAACTTGCATATCTGGAAAGGCACCATCAATGCTGAAAGGTATATCCAGGTTCTAGAGAAACATTTGCTGCCATCCAGACGACATCTCTTTGAGGGAAGACCTTCAAGTTTCCAGCATGACAATGCCAAACCACACACTGCATCAATTACAATATAATGGATTTGTAGAAGAAGGGTCCGGGTACTGAACTAGCCTGCCAGTGGTCCAGATCTTTCACTCATTGAGAACATTTGCCGCATCATAAAACGAAAATTACGACACAGAAGACCTAGGACAGTTGAGCAACTAGAATCCTGTATCTGACAAGAATGGGACAACATTCCTCTCCCAAAACTCGAGCAACTGATCTCAGTCCCCAGACATTTACAGACTGGTGTTAAAAGAAGAGGGGATGCCACCCAGTGGTAAACATGAACTTGTCCCAACTTTTTTGAGACGTGTTGCTGCCATGACATTCAAAATTACCTTATCTTTTCCTTAAAATGATACGTTTTCTCAGTTTAACATTTGATGTGTTTTCTATGTTTTGTTATGAATAAAATATGGGTTTATGAGATTTCCATATAATTGCAGCTCTTTTTATTTACAATTTACACAACGTCCCAAGTTCTTTGGAATTGTATTGCACAATAAATTATTTGTTTTAATCTTTAATCGCAGTGTCAGTTTTTAATTAAAATTATATTTGAACTTAAGGTAGTTACCTGAGTACGGCTATGGTTGGTACAACTTTGAACTGGGTAAGTGAAAGACTCGTGCCACTTGTGAGTGGCAGGTGACAGTGACCACCTGTTTCGATAAAAGCGTGGCTGACATTGGCTGCACATTCAGTTAGTGACTGTTAAGTGTAGCGACGGACATCACTGGCAGGTGTCACTCCTCTACTGCGGCATGCACTGTATCTGAATGATACGTGCCACTGTTAAGCGCCACCAGCGACAGTACATTTCTCAAATGTTTAATAAATACGCTGATATATGATCTTAAAGAGATTTACAATCAGCAACAATAACATCATCCTTACAAACATCACACAAGTGCTCTATTATTTTTCGTATTCCTCTCTGGCGTAGCTGATGCACAGAATCTCTGGTTTCTTCCAGGAGCGGTTGGTAGGTGCCTCTCTACGGCGGCAGGCACTGTATCTGAACGGCACCTGCCACTGTTAAGCACCACTAGCGACAGGCATAAGTGGCGGCTGCTGCTACCTGCCGTTTCCGGGTGCCAGTGATGTCACTTCCGGCTGCCGTTGCGGGACTGAACCTTGCTGCCTAAAGCTTATATTATTTGTCCTCGTCCCCCCTACACCCTGACCCCAAATAAACTGTATTAAATAAAATTCATTTGTTATTGTGATATGTATATAGGCATATAATGTGTTAATATTTTTAATAATGCAATATTTTTTACAGGTTCAGTTTCAAAATAAGTCTGCGTCCACTGTTCTTTGTTTTTTCCATGACCTGCGCCGCCCCCCGAAATTCCTTTGCGGCCCACACGCCACACCTGGAATATCTCTTGAATCAGATCTAATGGGAATGATCCTTTCAAACCAAACGCACGTTCAGTCAAACCATAAACCTAACCTAAAGAGCGAAAATACCATTAGATTGGCTAATTAGTGACCCATTCTGGAACTATACAGTTTTAACAAGCGTTTTGTCTTGTTCCTCATTCCAATAGGTAACATGCTACATTATTGTGTTTTGCATCATGCTGTGGATCGTATTTGGGGCTAGAGTCTACTTTTGGGGGTTTAAGCCCCCTATTTTTCTAAAGCTATCTAGCAATTTGAACTTTCATATATATTTCGTATCCACCCCCCCGCTCTGCAAATTTAACTGGGCAACCCGAGGATGGCATCCCATACTTCTTCACAGCGCTGTACGCCTCTAAGGGTTAAATCCTAGAATTGCCCCAATGTTGTGGATACTCACAAAACCAATAATTCAACCAAATAAAGCTAACAGCCGAGCAATTTACTTGGGTATACTAGGATTATACGAAAGTCGTAGGTGAAAAGGAGAAAGTGTCGGAAATTTTAGGTCACTTTCAAATAAGTGTCGGATAACCCGGAAAAGGCGCCTGGAAATGGTGACGTTTGTTACGAATTATTCTTTCTTTGAAGTTACCTATTATAAAAAAAATCATTTGCTCTATACGTCTATGCTCTATACTGTGAGATCAGCATAGAAATGATAACTACAGGGGGGATGTACACATACACACCCAGCAGTGGCTTTGCTTGGGGGATTGTGACGGTTCGTTGGGTTGGGAGCGCTAGGAAACGGGCTCATCTTGGGCTCCGTAAAAGCTGTTCATAGCTCTGCCTGTATTGGTAAAAAAGAATTACAGAAATAGAAGCACGATACTTCACATACAAAACAACTTGACACTCAATATCTGAATCCCAAAGAAGATTGAACTATATTTACATTGTTTGCAGTGTTTTTTATGGAAAGCCAGCCAACCGAAAGTTACGGAAAGTTACCCTCTGCTACGGTAGTCACGTAGTCTAGCCTCAAGGAACGAAACCCTTTTGGACGATGCCCGTGGAGCTCAGCTCAGATAATTACATAATTCTTAGTACTACACATGTGTGTCAGCGCTAATTTATCAACCCATACAGTGCCAGAGTCTGGTTGGACACCAGTGGCCTGTACTACGAAGCGGGGTTACTGGCTTATCGGGGTAACTTGTTGGATTTAAGGTAGTCTGGGCAAAATGTAAGTGAGCGAATATGAAGTCCATTTAAACTGTGGTACCTTAAATCCGGCAAGTTACCCCAATAAGCCAGTAACCCCGCTTCGTAGTACTGGCCACGGGTGGCAGAGCACTTAGGGAGCTGGGCATCTGAAAAAATGGCGGCTAGTTCAGGACATAGGCAGGGCACTAGGTTGTGACTTCAAGCCATGTATTTTATTTAAAAATGTTGTAAAAAATCTACTGGAAAATGTCTGAAAAAACTGCTTTAGTGTACATTTGAAATAAAGCTAAAATAAAATAAGGTTTAGCCATTGTTAGGTCTGTGATATGCTTGTATGTGGTCATAGGGGTCACAGTGAGGTGCTCTTTGTTTAAGCGGCGGTGAAGGCCTCTCGTTGGCACTCATCATTGTGGATCAGTAAATTCCAAGAGGAACTTAGTGAATGTCCATCCAGCACATGGTCGTCGCCTCCTTGGACTTTGGCAGAACACAGCCGTTTTCTATTTGGGATTAAAATGCAAGAAACACAATTTTGCAGCAACGTTCAACTCTGAGTGAATTGTTAAGGTCATGTTTTACCTATTAGTCTGCATATTGCAATTATGATTATTTGGGAAAATACTTCCATCCATATGAAAAAATACTTAAAACTTAGAAAAACAACAAACATCAACAACAACAATAATAATAATAATAATAATGGCATCTCATTCTTAGTGAAGCAGTCAAAAATATAAGCAGTTAAAATATAAGATTGGACTGGGAACATTCAGAATGCTTCACATCCAAATGCAGACCTGAAAATGTAATATTATATTGTAGTTCCTGTTATACAATCTGCATGTTTTGTGTTTAAATACTATCCATTTTCAGAATTCAGGAAACCAGGTTTACTGGGTGTTAACGCAGTCCTTTGTTATTCAAAGCACAATTTACATAGATCTTGACTAACAGGAATACAAGCCACTTTCTCAAAGGATACAATATGAATGTAATTACACTAAGCAATATGACACATATACCAATAATAAATCAAATATCACAGCAACTTCGTAGGCTGCATTGGTCTATAAGAGCCTTGGCCAAACTGTAAAGGAAGTTAGTTTAAACATTATATTCCCAGACAAGGTAACAAGAAAGCTAGAAATTTAGATTTTTTACCACTAGATTTAATATTACAGTGGTTAACAGTAGGTCTGTCTCTCCAAACATGCAGAAAAGATGACAACAGACAGAAAACTCACCATGCATGACATCCACACCCACATTTAGCTCCAGGCTACCATTGACCATAGTGTTTCTTGGTGATTTCAAACCAAAACCACCAGAGAGAAGTGCTCCATTTTCACCACACATGGTTTAATTACTGTAATGTCCTGTTATCGTGAGGTTAGGCCCACTTTTCTGCAGTTATCTTGTTTTTTTTTTTTGCCTGATCTGGACAGACGAGGGCAGCAAAGTTAAACAGCAATTTTTAACTCTCTAGGTAGCCATTCAGAAAGACAACTGTAGCCACGGCAACACGAGGACAGAAACACAAGTATAGATTTACTGTTATTTTCACTTATCCATCTTACCATTTGTGCTCTTTAGGGTGTTTGTGTCCATGTGCCATTTCTGGAATTTAAATATACTATGAATAATTGGGAGAAGACTTGATGATATAGTGTATAGCAGTTTTACAGAGTTACAGTGAACCTGGAGCTATTCCCAGGAAGCACTGGCCACTAAACAGGAGGGCTCCCTGAACAGGATTCCTGGAGTTTTATTTCCCCCCCAATATTAGACCAAATTACAGCTATAAGCCATCAAGCAACCCACACTGAAACAGTAGCATATAGTGCACTAATGCCTGACCCCACCCACACCGTCTGCTGTGGAAGAGAGACGCCGCACACCAGAATGAAATCTGAGAATAAAAAGAATGGTTTATTCCAACTGGTACTTCAAAAATGAAGTTCACTCATGTTTATCAAAGACAGGGACAGCCTTCAGGTGACACAGACACTGTTGGGATTTTTTCTGGGGTCTAAAATACAAAAACCACACGCCACAACTGTTTTAGGTAACAGATCATCTCAGCGGAGTGTGGCTTCAGAGCAGGGAAGCAGAGATCTGAGCAGAGATCCAAGGAGCCACGCCAGCAGGAAGGAGAGCTTGTTCTACCAGTGATGAATAAACAGAACCTGAATCTGTCTGTCAGTGTCACCCACCCATAAAAGAGGATCAGTTCTCACAGTAATAACTTCTGTATTTATTTACTAACAATTTTGCCGCATAAATCCAAGAGCTGTAGCTCCTAGTAGTGATTAGCAAATAAAGCTTCATGAATCAATTACTGTATTTTCTGACCCCACTAAATGGTGCTATGTTTTCATAAATGGGAGCATTTTGTCAAAGCATGTTTCAAAGTAAACCAAGAGCACCATCTAGTGGGATCAAAAAGTACAATTAATTCAGACCCAAAGTTTTGCTCTCCCAATGTCTGTATGTCTTGAAAAGGAGGGAAAATAAAGTTCCACTGCCATTTAATTTTCACTGTGAAGGCATATGAGGGGTGGACCCCGAGCAGCTTCCAAACGGGCCACAAGCAAACCCCACTGGACTGATGCTGGGATTGCACACAAACGTCCACACGGCCCCACCCCCCAAGCCTCCCCCCCAGCCCAGGAAGCCTGGCTATGGTCATCACGGCTTCTCTGGGAGGGCAATCTTCATCTTGTGCAAAGTATTGATGAAAAATTTAGGCAGGGGGCAGTAGAGGCTGATGTCCCCATGACCGTTCCTGCCTGGAAGCAGCAGCTGCCGGGCATGCAGGTGGAGGGGGAGGTGCCGCGCTTTGCTCTGCTCCAGGCCCAGCCGGCGTAGCACACCTTCCGGCAACTTCTGTGGAAGGGGAGGAAAAACACAACACAGCAGCTCAGTAGTGGAAGAAGCTATTCAACACTGTTTAAAAGCCAATCCAGGTACTTCACAGCATAACACTCCTCATGTAACAACTCCCTCCATTAGCCACCATTCGCAAATACGACAGTAAATTGCAGCCTCTCGTGTATCACAAGCTCTGGCTAGTGCGCAAAACAGCCCAAGCTAGCGGCTCTCAAATCATCCATTGCTTTTTTCATATTAATTGCATTGTCGTGCTTTGTTTAGTGGGATTTTCCACTAAACACTACTCCCACCACTCAAAACTTTGTGTTTACAAAGACTGCAAATTGCTATGCTACGAGTTGCTATATACAATGTTTCTAAATTGTCACCCTCTTATCTGATGCTCTTACGCTGGATCACATATGGCCAATACCCAATCCGTCTAATAGGTCTAGATCGGTGCCTGTACCGATTTGAATATTGTCTTGGTGCACCTCTAGTAGTATGATTTTCACTTAGCGACCTGGTAGCTGGATTGGAACTCGGTCGCTAAACCAGTAGTGCGTGTAGAATGATTACCCACAGCTTTACCTGTGGTGCCAGTCTGGCCCAGTGGGCATACTTATGGTCCCCGAGGATTGGGCAACCCAACCCATATGCCATGTGGACACGGATCTGGTGCTTCACTCCTAAGGGACATGAAAAGCAGTGATTTTATGGTGTGTAGGATCCATAATAGACTCACAAATAAATGTACAAAGTAATGAAGCTTTAGTAAACCAGGCTGCAGGATATTTGTGTTCTTTGGGAACTCCTTTTGCCGTAAGGTATGGTCAAGAATTTAATGTAAATTTTATAATGAAGTAATGAATCTAGATGCAAAAGACGAACATTGTACAACTTACTCGGGAAAAATGGGTATTTACATTTATTTATTTAGCAGGTACTTATACAAAGTGACATATCTGTGAAGCTGTACATCACTATGGGCGCTTTTCCACCACACTAAGGGTGTTTTTCCACCGCACCAGGTACCGTACTTTCGGTACTTCCACAAAGTGCCGAAAGTATGGTATTTCTTTAGTGTCTGTTACCCACTTGAGTAAAAAATGGTACCAAATGACATCATCAGTGACCGCCCTTGACTGACATCGTCACAAAGCGCAGCTTAAAAAAAAAAAAACAGCCCAAAATTAAAACTAACAGTTTAGGCTGGTAAATGCGGTTTATTGTTATGTGAGCTTCTATCACAGTATAAGATTCAGTAATATCCAAATTGCATGAATGCTGCCATCATTTACGTTTACGTAGGTACACTTACTTTGGCTGTAAAACTCAGAGCAACTTTAGCATTTAGTTCCAAAATTCAAAACGTTAGACTGTTAGACAACGTCAGCACCGTAAATCTAAACAAAATAAAACAGAGGAATCTCCTTCATACCTGTAATGGGCTGAAGCTCCACCAGGGCGCAACCTCCAGAGCTGTCCAGCACGCGGTACTGGGTGACAGCGCTGTGGGCTTGTCGACTGGCTCGGACACGCGTAACCTCATCACCACTCTCCGACACCTTGTATAAGGGGCTCACGGTCATCTGGAGGAAGAGGGATGGGGGCGAGATAGTAAAACAGTGCTGTTACGAATTCATAACAATTCTGACTGGCAGACAGTTTAATACAGTACACACATGCTAATAATTATGTCTTTGTTGTGTAGTACAGAATCTTGTGTGTATAGTGTTTGAACTCACGTTTTGGGCAATTCATCTTCAACTGAGTCAGATAAAGAGTGTCATACCGGGTGTGACCAGCAGGAGAGGACAAACTCACTTTGTAATGTGGCTGTGACCCCTGGACCTCTTTCTCCATGATAGGGATATCAATCACACCCTCTGAGGGAACAGGCACCCCAACACTTAGTACCCTGTAAAAAAAAAAAACAAGAGCATACAGGTCAAGTGAGAACAGAACAGCTATAGCGATCATAACTCTTATTAGATGATTGGGTGTTTCTCTTGCCCTCACAAATATTTCTTCTCCACTTGATGAGCTCTGAAAAGTTCTTGCACGTAATTGGCTGCCTCCTCGCTCCTGGCCAATAGCATCACCCCAGTAGTTTCCTTGTCCAGTCGGTGGCAGAGATACAGGTTAGACTCCGCCCGAATCCCGTCGATCATTTTGGCCAAGATCGGCAGGACGTCGCTGATGTTATTTCCCACACCGGGGCCGCCTAAGACATTGGAAAGCCCAGAGGTCAAAGAGGAAAACAGGACTGACCTGCATTCCCTTGCTGTGCATGCAGACAATCTAAATTAATGGACAGTATAAACAGTACATGTTCCGTTTCGACCCAAATAAGTGAAAGCGTGTGTGAATTGGAGTGACCATGCCAAACTAGGAGTTAAAGTCACAACCGTTATATTATACATAATACACAGCAGTGGCAATCCAATACAGCTGTTAGACTGACATTACACTGACACTGTGGTTACACTGCTACTGTCAGTCAGAATTAAAGTGCTACTCAACTAAATAATTACTAACGAAAATACATTTACCAAATATTAATCAAACTAGTTTAATATGCCTGTGCAAGCCAGAGAACACATTCAGACCACCTTGTTTTCCAAACAGGGAAGCACGAAACAAGTAAACTACATTTTCTTTTGGCTAACATACCGTATGTATCATAAATCAACAAGTACAAATTACAAACTATACACATTACATACACGTTGACAGTAAATGCAAACTTCACTTAGGCTGTAACAGTCTGTACATGTTGACACACACTACAAAATACCGAGTAAATAGCCGTAAATATTGTCATTCCATGTGATGACACCAGAGTGGATGATATATAAAGTACCATGCACAGGCACGCCGTAGGGCTTGTTGATGGCGACGATGTCCTGGTTGTGGAAAAGCAGGCCCCGGTGCAATGCTTTGGCCAGGACGTTGGGATGGACGGACTGCAGCTGCTGGGACAGCTGCCGGAGCTCAGCGACACGCTTTTGCGCTGGGGACACCGTAATCTGCGCAGAGACGCATCACCCATCAGCACAGTAACCAAGGAGTTACATGAAAAACGGAGTCTCCCAACATCGCTCCTAATACCCAGAAAAGACATACCTCGCTTTCCGCTGCTTTGTTTTTATCGCGCCGATATCTCTGGGCTAAATCTATAGCCTTTAGACAAGTTTTGGTGGCCGCTGCAGTATCTGACGGCTGCTCTTTCTTCTTGGTAGCGGCAGCATGTGATCGCACGGCCGGATAAACAAGTTGTTTTACCGCGCACAGCGGCCGTACCTTCTCCGATCGGCAGTGAAGACTTTTAATCCAAAACAGGTCATTGAGACAGAGAGTTGCAAAAGTCCGTACGCTTTTCATAGTTACTGACACTAAAACGACTTGAAACGTGGTGCAGATTTCATCCTTCAGTTAAAGGTCAGTTAAAAAAATTTGACAAATGCCTATACCGCCATCTAGTGTTCTGGAGAAAATACCACGGGCACCAGTGGGCAACTCCGCTCCTTAAAACTGCATTTCTGCAAGTTTTTGTTAAGTATGGTTAACTTAATATACACTCACCTAAAGGATTATTAGGAACACCATACTAATACGGTGTTGGACCCCCTTTCGCCTTCATAACTGCCTTAATTCTACGTGGCATTGATTCAACAAGGTGCTGAAAGCATTCTTTATGTTGGCCCATACTGATAGGATAGCATCTTGCAGTTGATGGAGATTTGTGGGATGCACATCCAGGGCACGAAGCTCCCGTTCCACCACATCCCAAAGATGCTCTATTGGGTTGAGATCTGGTGACTGTGGGGGCCATTTTAGTACAGTGAACTCATTGTCATGTTCAAGAAACCAATTTGAAATGATTCGAGCTTTGTGACATGGTGCATTATCCTGCTGGAAGTAGCCATCAGAGGATGGGTGGTCATAAAGGGATGGACATGGTCAGAAACAATGCTCAGGTAGGCCGTGGCATTTAAACGATGCCCAATTGGCACTAAGGGGCCTAAAGTGTGCCAAGAAAACATCCCCCACACCATTACACCACCACCACCAGCCTGCACAGTGGTAACAAGGCATGATGGATCCATGTTCTCATTCTGTTTACGCCAAATTCTGACTCTACCATTTGAATGTCTCAACAGAAATCGAGACTCATCAGACCAGGCAACATTTTTCCAGTCTTCAACTGTCCAATTTTGGTGAGCTCGTGCAAATTGTAGCCTCTTTTTCCTATTTGTAGTGGAGATGAGTGGTACCCGGTGGGGTCTTCTGCTGTTGTAGCCCATCCGCCTCAAGGTTGTGCGTGTTGTGGCTTCACAAATGCTTTGCTGCATACCTCGGTTGTAACGAGTGGTTATTTCAGTCAATGTTGCTCCTCTATCAGCTTGAATCAGTCGGCCCATTCTCTTCTGACCTCTAGCATCAACAAGGCATTTTCGCCCACAGGACTGCCGCATACTGGATGTTTTTCCCTTTGCACACCATTCTTTGTAAACCCTAGAAATGGTTGTGCGTGAAAATCCCAGTAACTGAGCAGATTGTGAAATACTCAGACCAGCCCGTCTGGCACCAACAACCATGCCACGCTCAAAATTGCTTAAATCACCTTTCTTTCCCATTCTGATATTCAGTTTGGAGTTCAGGAGATTGTCTTGACCAGGACCACACCCCTAAATGCATTGAAGCAACTGCCATGTGATTGGTTGATTAGATAATTGCATTAATGAGAAATTGAACAGGTGTTCCTAATAATCCTTTAGGTGAGTGTATATGCGTCCCATATGAACTACCTAACGGGATTTCCATAGTTACTTTCACTGTGTAATAAGTAAGCACTTGTAAAAGTAAGCTGATAATAATAAATATCATTTATCGATCATTTAATTAAATGTAATATATGGATCTGTTTAATTTATTTATATTGGATATGCTTTCTTATTAATGTGATTGCTTTTTGAATGTAACAAATGAATTAAACATATTTAAATTAAACTGAATTGACACGTGCACATGATTTGCACTTCGTGAAATGTATGTGTATTCATATCTAGCACTTTTTATACATATTTCCTATTTGCACGATTTTGCCGCTGTGAACTCGTGCAGTTTTTCCATTCATCTGTAGGCATACTTAACAAATCCCAAGTGTTGTGACAATCCCCAGGTTACGAACGAGATACATTCCCTAAGTCTGTCTTTAAGTCAAATTTGTCTTTAAGTCGGAAACCTTGAGCCGACGAACCGCTGAAGCCATGCAGAGTTTTCAGTTGTCCGTAAGTCGGACGTTCTTAACCATGGGGCTGCTTATACTTTCACTTCATTTTGTACATTTTGCTTTGATATAATGCAGTGACTAACATTCAGGCTGTACCCCAGCCTTGTGCTTCAGGCTGACCCCATACCCAGTGGTGGATGTTGTAAAGGGCAATATGGGCTGGGGTTGGCAGCTTTCGGGAACGGGGGTGCATTGAAGCTTGCCAAGGGCACCAATGGACCACCACTGCCTATGACCCTGATGAGGATAGGCACCTGGAAGATGGATGGATACTGCAACAGTCACAAGGGGCAACATAGTGCAAAGTGGTAGCCCAGTCAGATTGTGCATCTACAGCTATTTAAAATCAGGTTATAAAACAGACATTCTGTCTACAAGTTAGGTATGTAATGTCTGTTTGCTTTGCCTGTACACAGTACACAATGTCTTGCTGTCAACCACTCACATACAATGCACTTTATCCTGAAGAGGGTTGCAGAGGACCCAGAGCTTATCTCAGGCAACATATGACACAATGATTAAATACTGTATGTAAGAATGCAATAACAGGACCCTAATGGGATATCAACCTTCCATTTATGTCTGCCTTTGAACACAGGTATGTGTTTGAACACAGGTACCTATATACTGTTTGAATGACAGCATCTCTTACTGAGCATTGTCTCCCATGTGGCTGCAACACACATGTCATCATCATTGACTAAGTGATGTCACCGAGATCACAGAGTGTGATTGATCTCTTTGAATACCAGATCTGTGTGATAGAGTTCTCTGTATACCTCAGCTGTGAAACAGAATCTCATGTATACCACACCTGTATCATAACAGATCGCTGTCTACCTTACTTGTGGGTTGGATCCTGACACGCACCACACCAGTGTCACATCAGCATCTGTGTAAATAGATCACACCTGCTGGATACAGACCACAGATGCCTTGGCTATAACACACCTGTAGTCAGTAGTATAGATGTGTTCATATTGAGTATCATATTTCGATTCTGCGACCTCCTGTGAGTTAACCTGTGACAGTCATCTATAATTCACTCACCAGTATGTAGTGAAGCCAGGAGGCCAGATGGCAATCCATTATTCAGCAGAACCTCTCACACAAACTCACCCCCCCCCCCACCCCACATACACACACTTGGATGACAGACCTTAAACACTGAATGACACACTTTCAACATGCACACTTATGGATGTGCTGACAAGCATCGTGTGCTAAGAAACTGGGCAGAGAAGTGAAAAGCTTGAATCAGCTGACAATGAACCAATGCAGACTCTACAAGGGATCCAAGCTTTCAAGTAAATGTCCACAGATCAGTTGTGTCGTTACTTAATTACAGGACATCTGCTTAAGCTTGTCCGTCTCTGCTCTTTGTTGGCAACGTAACTCTCAATCCCAGGCTATGCTGATGTGCTGAAATCCGCGGGATCTGCCCCATCCAGCAGGTGTCAGGTTTCCCTGACCCACTGGCTTAAAACTTGAACCCGTAACTTCGGTTGAATGCAGAGCGGATCTGGTTTGTGTGATAGGGTGTCAGCCGGCAGCCTGCTGCCTTTTACTACAGCTCACACAGCAGCGACGATCATCAATGTACACGAGCAGCTTTTGTCTTTATTTTCTAAGATAATGGATGTTCAAAATAGCTTAGAAATATTTCACCTTCACGATAATCACGCACACCTTTGTCAAATAACTATTCTAAACGATTGTATTGGTGTTCATAATTTATGTGGGCAATAAACGCAGATATTGAGTTATCCACTTTGTTGATATGCCAGTATTGAATATCATGCCAAGAAGCCACTTTTAATTGTTTTGACAGGCAAGTATGGAGAGAGGCTACCCCCTATCCCACAGGAAGCGCCTCTTCGCTGCGTGAACACTCTGCCTGGCATTATTACAGATCTGTCGCCGTTACGCGGATCGCGTTTCACGGCTCTGAAGTGCATCAGGGATCCCCAAATTCATCCCCGAAGCTGTGATGTCACACACCAGGAAGTAAGCCTGAGCCGGCTTCATTCCTGGCTGCCGCTTGTAGGAGCCGTGCCGGGTCCTGGGCAATCGGTGTGTAGGCAGATTGGGGGAAACAAGGAGCTACTAAAGGAAACGTAAGCGCCAAAGCAAGAGGAAGGGAAAAGTGTGAATTATCTGCGCCGCGAAGTAATTTGAAGCTTGCATTGAAATGTCACACCAGACAGGAATTCACGGTAAGGCAACCCCCGTTAGCGTGCTGTATAGGAATGGGATGTGGAATTTTTGCAACTCTCGGATCCCGTAGACTGCGCATTGTTGCAAAAGTTGCGTATAAGTTTCAATCCTTCTTGTGTTGCGTAGACAAAGTGCTGGTCTGCAGATTACAGTTCTCAATCAGCTCAATATCCTTAAGCTAGCTGATTATTTATCAAGACATACAAATAACAACAGCAATAAAACATCAGATATTCGTCTTAAACGACTTGCGTTCGATGAAAGCTGTCAGATTTAGAGGAGGTCTCTTTTGCCTTGTAGACCTGGAGGGTTTCACACTTGACACGTGCAAATGCTGTGAAAGAGTTTATTTCCCATCTGGAGTATAGGCGAGTGGCTCTAGTTGGAGGACCTTCTGAGGGGTCGATGCCGAGCCCTTTTAGGTATCTTTGTCTGTGGAGACACAGGAAGGGCACTCGGGCGCACCTGCGGACGCTAGCGGCTCTGCAAGTCTTGCGTGGTTGACCTGTGGTCGTTGTTTGCCCTGCTGTGTGAAAGTAAATGGATGGATGGATCAATTCCAACCACTTCCGCAGCTGCGGTTTTGGTCCATTCTACATCGCGTTAAATCGACGTGATCATGTTTCTGCATTTATGCTGCTTGATCTTGTTGTTGTAAAGGTATTCAGGTAAAGTGCCTTTTATCAAGCGCGCAGGAGCAGGTCTGTAATATAAATCTCTTTTTCATCTTTAACTATAACTATGAAGAAATATTCAGTCTGTCCTGGGGATGATTTTTGCCATGGATTTTTGGTAGATCATTGACTCTTTGCAAAGTAAATAATTTTTTGACAATTTTGATCCATATTTGATTGAAGTTCATGGGTTGCAGGCAAGCTGTGTATTACGGTGTCAGTTGATGAAAGAGGACAGGGTGTTCCAGAAAAGTTACTTACAGGGACCAGAAAATTGGCTGGTCAAGCTCCATACACAACCCTGCTGTTTAATAAAATTATGGCTGTACAGAGATATATTGTTTTGCGCCCCTCCTGTAATTTTGTGTGCAAGTGACTGATAAGAAACTTCACCCATGAATGAATTATTGGATTGAGTAATTAATTAACTAGAAGCCCTTATCTCATTTCTGCGCTGGACCAATGAGTGATTAGAGCTGTAAACTGCAGCCCCGAGCATAGCAGTGTGAGGTAGGGGGTTAGAACAATGAACTGTGCACTGTTAGACTTACTTAACATACAGTAAATGTTTAATAAGGACTCACAAGCCCTTCTGTGCTACACCAGAGCTACTGTCAGGATATTTGTGTAATACAACATGTGTATTTCTGTACATTGTCCCGCATATGTCTGTATCTGGGTATGTATGACTGGGTGTGTGAAATTGTGTGTTGGTGTGAGTTATGAATGCCATATGTGTGTGTGAGTCGTGTGTGTCTGTGTGCACATGTGAACCTGACTCCTGTTCTCAGCAGTAATGGGAGCTGGGGGAGGGGTGCTACCTGTCCCCTGTGCTAACTCAGTAACGCTCCCCCCCCCCCGTCACCTCAATCATTCATGCTCAGGTAGGGTCCTGTTACTCAGGTGCACTGGACATCTGCAGCCTACAGGGCTGCATCTCACGGAGGACAGAGGCGAGTGCAATTTCATTGGGCCACAACAACAGATCTCTGGGAAGTCACATTTATTAATGGGACTGAAGCATAGCTTGTTTGTACTTTTGTAGTAAAAACACTGTAAAGTGAGATGAAACAGAATACTTATTTCAATGTATTTTTAAGTAGTGCCTTTCATAGCACAGTTGCCCCAAGGCACATAACAAACGTAGCAATACATTTCATGGATACTAAATATCCATCCATCCATCCATCCATCCTTCTTCCAGCTCCTTCTTGCTGACTGGATCATGGGGAAAACGGAAGATCCACAGTATATGAGAATCAGAAACCCATTTGTTCACTAAGGATAGGAATTTACATGGGATTTTTCCTGGTGGCCGGTGTTACATGTGGAAACTTACATACAGGTGCATATTGTCACGCTCGGGCGTAAGGCGAGCAGGGAAGCAGGCGAAAGCAGCCAGGAAGTCAGGTAAATGGGGTTTATTCCACGACAGACGGACAGGTACGGACAATACAATGACGGATCTGGCATACATGGGGAGACGCGGACTCATATACACAAGACTAGGCAAACGAAACAGGAAACAGCTGGGCACAATCAGGGAAGCACACGTGGATAATGAGGGGGCGTGGGCCACACTAGGAGGGGACGGAGCGGGGCGTGACAGGTAGCAATATCAGTTAACATATTACGCGCGGTGCTTTACATATAAAACTCCGTAGCAACACGTCCATGGATAAGTT